TTGTACTCAGATAAAATCGCTTTCTATAGTTGAGCCATTTGTGCGTTCAGAAAATTTTCATCTGTATTTTCCTCAATCGTAAATATTTTATTCTCAAAAATAGAAAACTTTGTTTTATATTAAAAAATAAATGCGGAAACTTCGGATTTAAATCCGAGAGTTATGTGCACTTCAAAAAGTGAATTAGACAAATGAGTCATCCTAGAATATGTGGATATCAAAATTATACTGGGAAACCTTTCCTATAAACTGTTTATTTCTGTTGACTATTGATCCATCAATAGGGCTTAGAGGCGAATAGAGCTCAAATTTGAACTCTTTCCCTTGATTTACCCTAAGAAAGTCGTTTTTCCTATAACTTGATTTCTATTGGTCACTGCTCAACCAATAGTATTTCGATGGAAGTGGAATACAGATTCGAGTTCTCCATCTCAGAAAACCTCGAAGTATCATCACTGTGATCGGAAGATAGAGCTCTATTTGTGGATCAATTAGATCGTGGACAAAAATATAACCCAGTTCTCTTTAACTATCTTTGTGATAGATGAGCCAACCTTCGTGTTTCTTTATGTTTTATATACCATTTTGTAGCTCGTGAAATTCTCTATCGAATGGTATATAATAGTTGGGGTTTTAGTTGACTATGATAGGAAAAGTCTTTTACGAAAGTGGGGATGGGTCGATCTTTCCATAGGGAAGGTGCAGGAAAAAATGAGTATTTTTGCAATAACTCAGGAAGGGCTCGGCCCAAGGGGGAAACGGCGGACTTTTGGACTTGAAGTTACTTTGAGCTACTTTAAGCTACTTCAAGTTACTTTGAGCTACTTTAAGCTACTTCAAGTTACTTTCAGCTACTTGAAGTAGCTTACTTTGAAGTATTTTTCAACTTCAAATTTACCTGAAGTTACTTGAAGTTACTTTAAGCTACTTGTTACTACTTTGGGCTACTTGGGTGATACTTTGAGCTACTTCAAGTAGTCTACTTTGACGTACTTTTCTACTTCAAGTCCGCCGTTTCCCCCTTGGCTCGGTCAATCCTTCTCATCTTCGAACTCGACCGAGATATTGTTAAGACTGAACTGTGTAGAAAATTTCATCGCGATCGGACTCTCCTTTCGAAAGTTATCGTGTTAACGGCCGGACGGCTGGACACACTGACCGATTCTAGAGTGTACTCACACTTTTTGAGTGCACAAAAATGTATGAAAACACTAAATAATTGTTAAAAATGCCATTTTTTCGATCGGTAGCAAAAGTCACGGCTTCAGAAAAACTCCAAAGAGAAGTATAATTTTCTGCCTTAAGGTGCCTATTTTTATGATTTTTAATGCGTTTGTGAAGTAAAATTCGCAAGAACACATTTTGAATTGTTTCTCACTGAATGAATTATATCTGGTTCTGAGTGTTAGTGACAATCGAGGGAATGCCATCGATCGAAAAAAATGACATTTTTAACAATTATTTAGTGTTTTCATACATTTTTTCTTTTATTTTAAAATTTTTCAAAATGATGTTTTTTTCCTTGAAAGTTTCTACGTATTTTGAGGTGTTTTCGAAATACATACGCGTAAGAAACTGATTCAATCGTATACCAATGAGTAGATTGGATGTTTCTGTGAGTGTTTATGATGACAAGTTAAATCTTATTCACTTGTTAATAAGGACTTTTTGGGTGTTTGTGGTTATAAATAGGCATTTTTGATTGGGCATACATGTTTGGAGAAAAAAAAGGAGGGAAAGGGATCGTTAAGCGCGGAAATCGGCCCCCTCATGAAAGCGCTCATTTTCTATTCCAAATCGTCACTTTATACCTCCTAAACTCAAAAAACGTTTGAATCTAGTCTATCGGGCTCAATCAGTCAACACACAGGGTTAGAGATGCCTCTCCGTTCACTAGACAGATTTTTAGGCATTTTCGCTCGTTTCTTCCGTCTGTGACAAATGTAGACATTTGGATCCACTTTCAAGTCAAGCTAAAACGATACAACTTTTTGAGCTCTACAGTTCTAGCTTAGGAATGTCTTGTGAAAAAAGTGGGTATCAGGGTCATATTGGACAAAAACTGGCCTAAAGCCATTAGCTTTTCATTATTTTAAGTGCCTTCGGGGCGTAGTGCTGAATGTAGGCATTTGGATACAGTTTGCAGTCAAGCTAGAACGATATAACGTTTTGAGCCCTGCAATTGCGGCATTAGAATGCGTAGGAAATGTTTGGGTGGGGTTTGCATTTTCTCTGTATGCTCATTTAGATGGTTGTATTATCCACTACGAACTGCTTAACCCATTTTGGCGGGAGTATGACAGTAGTTCCTGTTTCGATATATGTCGAATAGAATCAAAAATAGATCTGAAGTGCGAAAATGAAAGAATATTATGAGACGCGGGCCGATTCGAAGACTCCGGTACTTCACCTGTATCCAATAAGCTTGAAAATATCACACCATCGGAGAAACGGATTATCGAATGACTTGTTCGATTCAAATAATGCAATTTTTTTGGAAATCAGAACATCAACGTGACCCCAACATCACACTCGCACTCTCATCCCGAACCATAGCGTCGTACTCACACGTAATCTTAACCCAAGCTGGAAAGGAGATTGTTGAGTGGATGACTTCTGTGCACTCGACGACTCCTGCTGACTCCCATCGATTTCCGAGGCAGAAAAAGTAGGATTCCACTGACTTGCACAGCCCGGGTGAACAGGCGAATGAACATGAGTCAGTGGAAGTCCTTCCAGTTAGAAATCCACTTTTTCGATATTACTTCCAATAGCTTCAAGTCACACCTGAATGTCTTCTATGGAGGTCCAATGACCCCGGGTGACTCGAATCGACTCTTGATGAATCTCGATGACTACCAACAACTCCTGAAAATTGCCGTGTGTTTCGAGGCCGGTGCATACAGGAAAGCCCTGCTTACCTGCCTTGTCATCAATCTCAGCTTCACATTTAGCTATACTGCGACCTTTAACCACTTACGCCAGCTCGCTGTCTTCACTCGATTTTTGCCAGTCTTTTAAATAATTGGTGTCTGTGCGCCTGTGAGAATGATGAAGACGGTATACTTTTTCGGAAAAGTGCGAAAGTTTTGATTCACGAAGTCAATAATGGTGCAAAATTTTCTCTACCCATTCTTATGCCACAATTGCAGAGCTGAGAAACCTGTATTGTTTTAGCTTGATTCGAAAATGGACCTAAATATCTACATGCGTCACAGAGGCTAGCAACAAGCTAAAATGGTGAAAAATCACAGTTTTCGGCCAGTTTTTGTTCAATATGATCCTGATATCCACTTTTTTCACTAGACATTCCTAAGCTAGAATTGTAGAGCTCAAAAAGTTGTATCGTTTTAGCTTGGCTCGAAAATGGGTCCAAATGTCTACATTTGTCACAGACGAAAGAAACGAGCGAAAATGCCTAAAAATCTGTCTAGTGAACGGAGAAGGAACTCTAACCCTGAGTGTTGGCTGATTGAGCCCGATAGACTGGATTCAAACGTTTTTTGAGTTTAGGAAGTATAAAGTGACGATTTGAAATAGGAAAGGAGCGCTTTCATGAGGGGCCGATTTCCGCGCTTAACGCCCCTCCCCTCCTTTCCGTCGTCACTTCCATTTCCAGGGGGTGGGATAGGTGTTAGTAATCTTTTGATGCCCATTCACACCCGACACCCATCCACACCGAGGGAAAAAGTACAGGCACCCAGAATCCTAGCACCTCAGCACCTGTTCGACACCTTTATCACATTTCACTATGAGCACCTTCGACATCTTCAGCATCTTCAACCATTTTCCCATTATCTTAATTACTTTTTTCAGCATCTTGCGATAAAATTTAGTACCTAAGCCCTGTCTTTTAAATTTTATCGCAAGGTGATGAAAGTACTTAAGATAATGGAAAAGCGGTTGAAGGTGCTGAAGGTGCTGAAGGTGCCGAAGGTTCTCATAGTGAAATGCGATAAAGGTGTCGAACAGGTGCTGAAGGGGCTGACTAGGTGCCGAAGGTGCTAAACAGGTGGTGATGTGCTAGGCCGCTGAGTGCCTACACTTTCTCCCTTGATCCACGCCCACACCCATGGAGGAAACGACAAACTTGAAGTAGAAAAGTACGCCAAATTAGATCAAAGTCGGTTACTGAAATTAGTCCAAAGTACTAACAAAGAAGCTCAAAGTACGAGCAAGTGGTTTAAAGTGACTTGAAGTAAATTTCAAGTTGAAAAGTACTTCAAAGTAAGCTACTTGAAGCAGCTTAAAGTAGCTGAAGGTAACTTCAAGCCCAAATGTCTGCGGCTTTTTCCTTGCCTACAGCCCTCATACCTACACCCCACCTACCATCCACACCCATATCCACTCACCCACACTCATATCCTTAATATTTCTGTAGTTCAAGTGTCGAGCTCACACGTTTTAACTCTTTTTCTCTAATGCTGTGAACGAAGAATAAATAAAAAGACCCTCTTATCATTTTCCTGTATTAGATTCAGTACAGATTTGAAGGTTTTCACGTCGCAAAAAAATAGTTTTTTTTTCTCTCATTTCTTATCGTACCATTCTTTATCTTTATAGCAATGTTGGTGGTATGTTCTTGAAAGTGCAGTATCCAATCGTATAACAAGATTGCATCGTTCTTTTCTATTCGCCATACTTCGGCAGTCCTATTAGTATCACCTATATATTCTGGATTGTATCTCGACTCTTAAAGCAAAACACCAGCGTGAATCAATTTTCATAAGCTAATGGATCCGAATTCTGCAGAATGGGACGAAAACGAATTTGTGATGTATTATCTAGATTCACTTTGTAATCTTCAATCGGCTAACAATAAAGTGCTGGAAGAGATCCTTCAGAAGAATCATCATTGTCCATTCTTTGTGGATCGATCAATTTCAGTCTTGTCAAAACATACTACTGCTTCTGAAGAACAGGTCTATGCATCAATCAACGAATTTCGAGAAAAAGTTCCATTGACAACATACGATGATTATCGTGATTACATAGATCGAATGGTTGTCAATGGAGAGAAGAATTTATTGTGTTCTGAAGATGTCATTTATTATGCTACAACATCTGGTACGACCGCTAAGATCAAGTTGCTTCCTATAACTGAAACAACAATAAAAAATATTAGCACGGCGATACGTCTTGCATCTTATGTTATTTGGAGATCGTTACCATCGTCATCAGTTCCTTCCCCTGAACAACGACCATTCAGCTTGATAGGTGGTAAGAACGCAGAAGTGTTTCCAAAAACGAAAGATGGTACACCAGTTGGTCCCATTACTCAATATCGTTCAGCTCGTCCAACCTTTCCTAGGACCCGAACATTGTATGCGAGTGACAATACTCTAACACTGGATATTGTTGAAAAAATTACTGATTTCGACACAAATGCATTCGTCCAACTCGTTTTTGCATTAGCAACTCCGAACGTTTTCTACTATGTGGCTTACTTTGCCCCAATATTCATTCACAGTGTTAAAATAATTGAAAACTATTTTGAAGAAATGTGTCTCTGTATCTCTTCGGCTAATTTCGACCATAGTTCACTCGTTCGAAACAACATTCTCGATCCGGAATTTAGATCGACTTTAAATCAATCACTGCATGAAGTGATTATCAAGTATGGAGGAGACGCATATCGATTAGAGAGAGCTCAACATATTCGAAATGAATGTCTCAAAAAACATGCTCCAGGAATTTTGCATCGTCTTTGGCCAACTCTGATTTATGCATGTACAACTATAGGAAGCACATTTTCAATATACAAAGATACAATCCAATTTTATTGCGGGCAAAAATTACCTCTTATTAACGGACTTCTTTATGGTGCCAGTGAAGGATTCTTTGGATATATCGCAAGTATTCATACAGATGAATATTTGCCATTGCCAACACACGCATTCTATGAATTCATAAAGGAAGAAGATGTTCAACAGGTAAGATATCCGAAATACAATAATGAAGTAGATAATCGTATTGAATAAGTTAGCAAACCTTGCATCTGAGAGATGTAATGCTCATGGATATTAGACAAAAAGGTTATATGGTTTTACATCAAGCCGTTTTTATTTCTTTTTTAACTTGCCTCAAGCAGAAAAAGTGAACTCGAAATACCGAGCTCAGTTGCTTATGTTTCAAATTTTACCATTAAACTTGTGTGTGTTTCTTACTTTGACGTAAAGTGTAGTGTCTGTCCTATCTAGGTAGCCTTAGTTATTTCTACGCTGTTCTATAGGATATCTCAAGCCGGAACGTGCACTTCTTCAGATTGTAAAATTTCAGAAGAGTTAAAAAGATTCTAAAAGATTTTGAAAGATTTCAGAAGCTATGGATATGCACAATTGCTTCTTCATCGTGATACGAATCTACATATTTTTTTGTGTTAAGTGAAGCTGTCAAATTGATGCTCAAGAATCCTCAAATGTGCGTTGACTGCATATAATACCCCAACAGAGTTGTCCTCGAACGTGGTAAACCATGAAACATAGTTAATATTGGCACTATATTTTTACTTCCGTATGCATTTGTGCGTTCATCTCTGTTTATTATGTGAGGAATTTCTTTCATACCACTTGAAGTCTTTCCCAAGATGTGAATAAGAACGACTGTTCAACAGTATACCATGAAAGTCACACTGATATTCTTAATTAACGTAAATTTTAGGATTTTTCATAAAGATTCAATAATAAAATCACCGATAAAATTTTTATTGATGTGACTTGTGGCAAACTTCATCGAAGAGTTATCCCTATCAAATAGGTACACATAGCTTGAGAGACACCAACACTAAGCCGTCATGAATCTAAAACTTATGCTATCGATTATTATCTCTTACTCTTCTAGTTTGCTTTTAGGCTCAGCCGAAAACTCTTCTCATCTCTGAGATTGAGCCAGGGCATCGGTATGAGTTGGTTTGTACAACTGAAGCAGGATTAGTCCGGTACAGATTGGGAGATATGGTTAATTGCACACGGTTTCTCTGTCAAGCTGATGATTTAGTTCGATTACCACAAGAACCAGTGGAGATTCCTCGAATTCCTGTCATTTCAGTTGCATATCGTGTTGGAAATCTTTTGGATGTTTATGGTGAAAAAACAAATGAACAACATGTAATGAATGCACTTCTTCAAACAATGCGTCAATGGAAAGAACAAGGAATACATGTTGATTTAGATGAGTTTACATCATATCCCAGATTAGATGTGTTCCCTCCAAGATATGTCATCTTTATGGAGTTGATAGAGAAGCAAGGACACAAGCTTGATGCACAGCAACTTCGATTTCTCCAAAGTACCATTAGTTCAGATGTTGAACAGCAACTTTGCAAAGCAAACCAAGAATATGCAGCTACTCGACGAGGAACAAAACTTGGCGCACTTGATTGCATTCTGGTTCGAAGTGGAACATTCTCAACATTTCTAAAAGTATACCTGTTGATCAATCGTACAAGATCCTTGCAAATGAAACCTCATCGAATATTGAGAAACGAACAACATATTCGATTCTTTTATGAAAGCCGTATTGATACATCATCCTCATAACTTTGAAGCTTCTTTTTGTGATGACATTAACAATTGAAGTAATGTTCACATAACATACTTCTTATATAGAATTTTGTAGAACTCTTTTTTTCTAAAAAGCTAAAGTGTGTGTAAACTTACAGCGAGGCTTTTGCAGTTCTTTCGAATGCTCCCATTACAGAACTTAGCAATTAATATCGATGTGAAGCCAGCACAACACGACAAATTACCACGACGAGAGAAAAAAGTTTATTTGTCGAATGAAGGGCCAATCAGAAAATCGAAAAACAAAAAAAAGCAGAGTGGAGGCTGATAATTTGGAAATGGCGACCCTTAGCAACAGAAATTAGTGAGAAGTTAGTACCACCAAAAAAAAGCAAAACATTTTCAAAAAAAAGGCAAAATCTTCACCATACGAGCCATCCCTAGTTTCAATCCTGTTCATTCCTTGAGAAACCTTGGAAGGATCTTTTAGGATCCTGAATCTTAAGGATCTTGTCAAGTTTTTATTCAGGATCTTGTTTCAAATCCTTAGTGTTTCCTGTCTCCGGGATTTTTAAGGTAAGTCAAGATCCTGTTCAGGATTTCTTCAAGTTCCTGCTCAGATATGTTTTTGAATTGAGAATACAGGTTCCTATCAGGATTTTCTCAAGATTCTATTAAGGATCCTCTCAAGATAATGAGAGAGGATTCTATCAAGATTGTATCGAGTTCTCGTCAGGATCTAGGTCAAATCTTTGTATCAAGATCCTGTCAAGAGTGATAGCCACATCAGACGAGGATCCTGGCAAGAAAATAATAAGATCCGTCAGAATATGAAAACAGACTAATCCTGCAACGCTTCAATTAGGATCTTGTTCAGAAGTTTTTCAAGAATATGCGTTTCCAAAACTTCCAAGACAATATCAATTCTAATCACGATCTTGATAAGAACATGTAAAGGATTAAGCAGAGATCTTTACAGGTTACTGCTTAGTCTATTCAGCCATGCCAATTTCTTGAGATAGCCTTGACGGATCTTTCAGAATCATAAATCTCAAGGATCCTGTCAGGTTTGTTTCAGGATTCTATCCAAGATTTGTTCACGTTCTTGCTCAGATTTTTTCTGAATTGAGTTTGTACGATCTTACTGATCCTAGTCTAAATCCTAGACATTCCTTGAAAATTCCTGCCAGGCTCTTCCAGGATCCTGATCCTACAGAATCTTGTCAAGTTTGTCTTAGGATGCTGTTTTGAATCCTTGTATTTTCGGTGCTATAGTATATTTCAAGACTAAAGAGAATTCTAACCAGGATTTCTTCAGGTTCCTGTTCCTATTATGTTTGGATTGATAGATCAAAATCCTGTTAAGATTCACTCAAAATTCTATTTAGAGTCTTAGCAAGAATAACAAGAAAATATTATTGTAAGATTTTTCCAGGATTTTATCCAGATTCATCCAACAGGTTTACCTCAGGATTTTTCTAGGAAATGAAAATCGATCAGAGAAGGATCTGGACAAGAAAGAAACTGAGATCACGTACGGATATGGATAGAAAAATCTTATCAAGCTCCATCCAAAATCCTGATCTATTTCTTCGTTGATACAGCCGGAAGGATCTTTTTTAAACTTCTTCAGGAACGTATTAGGATCTGATCATGCAAAAATATTTCAAAGTCTAAGGGAAAGATACTAAATGTTCTCAGGATTTTGACAAAAAAAAAAACAACTGGAGACTATTAGGATCCGTTCAAATTTTTGTTTGGCTCATATCCCGACTTTATCATCAGGATCCTGATAAGATTCATAAACAATTCTGTTCCTAAACTTGAAAAACAACAGAAAATGGTTTCAACAAAATTTTGATTAGATTCCGCCAGAGATCCGTACCAGATCCTTAAGTCCCTTGACACAAATAAGTTATAATACCAGACTCTATGTCTGACCAATATCATCCTTAAGAGATCTGGGAAGAATCTGTTAAGATCTTCACTTTCAAGTCTATGAGTTCATGGTATCAAGATAATGCAAAATGAAGCAGGATCCTGTTCAAGATTTCTTAAAGATCCTGCTAGGATTTTATATAAAAATTACTCATTCTCTGTTCAAAATCTTGGAAAGAAATAGTAGAAAGAATCGTTTTAGAACATATCAAGTTTTCGTTAGGATATCTTAAGGATCTGCTTGGTAAGTTCCATAGTGACGTCAGGCAAGGATCTTGCCAAGTTTTGAATAGAAATGCGTGTCCTTTCCTACTTATTTCGAATTCGAGAGTCTCGTGCAAAACGTCTTCACGATTCTCTGCAGGTCTTCAGAATCCATTACCTTAGTTTTATACTAAATCATGCTAAATATCATAAAAATTTTGGCAAGATATCAAAAAGACTCAGTCAAGATTTTGTCTCGATCATATTTAAATTTTATTACAAATGTGAAAGTCAAGATCTTTAACGGATCCGAATTTTTTCCTTCGAAGAAACTCGATTAGGCTTGGATAGAACATGAAGTCAAGATCCTATCCGGATCATGTCAAGGTTATGCCTGTATATAAGATAAAACGCCTGCCATAATCCTGACAAGATTTTCTGTATTCGATTGCACGCTGGCGCCAATACTTCTAAGTGATCTTTACAATATAAATTATTATTAAATCACTTCATTTGTAATTTAAATATTAATTAAAACTAAAAATAAAATAATTTTTGGGTTTACGTAGTGGTGGCCATAGAGAATTTAATCGTTGTATACACATATTTTTTGATTGGACGTATTTGTTCAACGAATTTTTCTCTCTTTCCTTGCATGTTTATTTGAATCTTTTCCTCGTAAACTTGGGCTTGAGAGAATTTTTTGAAAATTTAACTCATGGCTACTACAATGTCTACTGCATCAAAACGTTCAAAGACAATTGAACCTGAACATTTTTGTTTCGTTTCTTTTCCATCAGAAGGAACTCATGGAATATGGCCTGAAAATCTTATTCGTACTAAGGGTGTGGGTATGGGTGTGGGTGCGGGTGTGGGTGTGGGTGTGGGTGTGGGTGTGGGTGTGCGGTATTGGTGCGGATGTGGGTGTGGGTGTAGGTGCCGGTGTGAGTGTGGGGTGTGTGCGTGTGAGTGTGTGCGTGGGTGGGTGTCGGTGTGTGGGTGTGTGTATGGCTGACAGTGTAGATGTTGGTCATTTGTTCACCCACACACACCCACACCCACCCACACCCACCACCCACACCCACACCCACCCACACCCACACCCACACCCACACCCACACCCACACCCACACCCACACTTATACAAACGCTGTGAAACTAACGCATAGAATTTAAGCGTTGACTTGTCAAGAGACCGAGAACGAAGATGAACACAATTCCGGCATAGAGGAACCAAAGACTAACACAGTTTATTTCAACCATTATACTTCACCAAAATGCGTCATACAAGCACTGCTTCTTAATTTATACCAGTGATAAGGACGCAAAAGAAGAAAATCCATATTGATAAAGAGTCAGAAGAACGATTGACGAAAAGTGTATCTTACATCTTGATTAGGGGTGTCAGTTTCGGGTTCCGTTCCTGGGAACGAGAACCCGCACCGAGTTCCGGGTTTCTAGGAACGGGAACCCACTTGGTTTTTCATTTCTGTGCATTTTTGAACACACTGGAGTGCTTATACATACTTTTTCTTTCGTTTTGAGGCGAGTCACTCCGGGTTCCTGGGAATGGGAACCCGTACCGGGTTCCGAGTTCCTAGGAACGGGAACCCGGTTAAAAATTCATTTCTGTACATTTTTGAACACACT